CTGCAAAGAGACCTTTTCTTCCATTACATCTTAGTAAAGTTGCAGACTGAAAGCTTCTTTGCCCTGCAACATGGCTGCAGAAACTCATGCAAATGAAGGCTCAAGAAAGCACTAAAGGCATATAAAGGAAAATACCTTTCAAAATCTTTACATATTTTTAAAAATTCCTTGTTGCCATGCAATTTTTTTTGTTTTTTTCTTTTTTTGTAATGACCTTCAAAAGGCTCAGACTCTAAAAAAGAGTCTTATTGTTGTACCTTTAGTTAGCGCTGTTTCCATGTGCTGCCTTTGTGATGCAGGTATTCACTGAAGTCTCAGTCCCTGCTGTCAGTGTTCAGTAATGCTTAATGCAAAGATAGTCATCTTTTTTGTTTTTGCTCAACAAAAAATTCAATACATTACTGAGTTCCCTCTGATATACATTTTTTAATCGTTTAAATCGATCAACGGCCCATCTAAATAAAACAAATATTTTAAAACATTATTTAAAAGCATTTTTAAACTTTACAAAGACCGGAGAGTGCATAAACCCCAATGAAAAAGACAAACTGTTTAGGCTGTAAGCTCAGAAAAAAGCAGCTTTGTTTTAGCTCTCTAAATATCTACGGTAGTTAAAGTTTGTGAGACAAAAACTTTGAGCCCTGCTCAAGTTCAGAAATTAAAGGGACACATTGAAATGGGTCGCTACAAAGTAATACGCTCAGTGGACTAAATTTAACCTTGTGTTAGTACAACAAATGGCTCTGGAAGTTTGCAGGAACAATAAAAAAAGTCTGAAATATTGGATTCTTCTTCTTCAATGCTTTTTTTAAATGCATTTTTTATTGTCATTAAAGGTTCAATATGGCTGGGGTTTAAGGTTCTACAGAGAACATTTTTGGTAGATAAGATCATCGATTTGTTTTTAAATCATACATTGATAAAATGTCCACCTATGTGTACAGGATTGGGTTGGATGTTGATTGGATGGATGAAAAAGCAGAATTTTCCCAAATTTACGAAACTTGTTTTATCACTGCTCCAGATTTAGCATTGTTATTTAAAATGATATGAAAAACTGGAGTGGACAGTCTGCCCACATAATCTGCCAAATCAGGACAAAGCTGCTTTCAGCCCCTTAATGAGAATATGACCATAAATTGCATCATCATTTCAATGCAAAGTTCAGACCTTATTTTAGATAGGAGCATGGAACAGAAAATGTCCTTTATTTTCTGAAAACACATTTAATATTGAAATAATTTATTGATAAAGAGAAGTTTCTGTTAGGCTTATCAGTTCCCAAAGGTTTATTTAAATTAACATTATTTTATAAATCTCATGTCTTTGCATTTTATCTTACTTTGTGTGATCACAAGTATTGTACCCCCTCTCTGTATGTAATATAATTGGCTGTTTTATGAAAGGAAAAAGTAAAGATAATACAACAAAGGCCAAAGTTACTGTTAACCACTGACATGTTAAGATTTGTTTTCTTCTTCTTTTATGAAGGATCCTAATACCCTTTGGTGATTGGATAATTGTATTTCTTTCTAAACCTGATATATTAGATAAGTAGCTGATGCATTAGCTTTAATTTCTATCTGTGATATCCTTCAAGGAAGTTATGAGAGGCCAACATGTAACCAGCTCTCATAGTGTCTTTGCTTTGATAAAAGTTTAATGGATCATTTTAGAACAATGAGATAAGAAAAGCAGGATTCACGGTGGTGCACTTTAAAGATCTGTTGCATAAGGAGGATCATGGGTTCGAACCTTGGCTTGGGGCTTCCTGCATTGAGTTTGAATGCCCTCACAAGGCATGTGTTGGTTTCCTCCGGCAGAAGTCGTTAGGATTACTTAGAGATGCATGGATCAAAACAAATATCACTTTGCACATGATTCTCATAGAGTAGTTTTATAACATGTTTAAAAGCTCAAAAAAGTTTATTTTGCATTAGATAGACCATTGAAGCTACACTGCTCTCTTAGATCTACCTCTGTCACCCAGGGTGACTCTAAAAACAGTAATTAATTCTGTGTCCTTGAACCCCAGTCGGTCTCAGCAGAGGGCTGCTCACACTCTTCTGGAGGTTTCACCTGTTAAAAGGTAGTTTTTCCTCTCCACTGTTGCTCCAAGCATGTTTAGTGTGAGGGATTGCATTTGAGTCAATTGCAATCGAGTCTTTGCAATCAACTAGTTTTCCTTAGATAGAAAATTGAATCAATTTGACTGTATGATCTGGTGAACTGTAAAGTGCCTTGAGATGACGTGTTGTGAATTGGCGCTAGGGTTGTCAAAAGTATCGATTCTCAAAAAAGTATCGATACTGAAACGTTATATCCGGATACAATACTCGTTTCTAAAAGTATCAATACAGTGCTACCACCAGTGGCACCTAAGCAGTCATTCATCTAAAGTGCAGAATAGTGAAAAATGCACTTTCTGAACACTGTGTGATTGAATAATTCTGTGCACTTTTCAGTTTCAGACTTTTTTTATGTAACAGGTGCAGCTTCTGAGAATTATTTTTGTTTCTTAACCGGTTTGGCTAGTGTCATTGTTATGTGTGCAAAGCATAGCCAAGGAAGGAACACTTAATTTTAATTCTATAAGTTTTTTATCAAGCTTGCTTCATATTGTGCACAGCATACAACCTTTATTGTGTTTATTTATTGTATTTTATTTATTAATGAAAATATTTCTGTAGAATTTTGTAGTCTTTGTTTTTATCCTTGTGGTATCGAAAATGGTATCGAGTATCGAATATTTTTCTTAGTATCGGTATCGAGTTGCAAAGTTTAGTATCGTGACAACCCTAATTGGCGCTATATAAATAAAATAAATTGAATTGAATTAATTATCAAGCCGCTGTGGGGAAAAGAAAAAAACAAAAGTTTTGGACAACCTGCTGCTTCAAACCCCTTCAACAGACGTCAGTTTGAATGAACTGAAATAACACTGTTTCAACTCCAACAAACCACCTTGAAGTCTTCCATTCATTTCATTCTGATAGAGCCCCTGGTAAACTGTTTATCTCTCTGGTTTACTTGAAGGACAGAGACTTTATTGTGTTGGTTCGTTACTTTACATCAGATACTAGAAGAATCAAATGTGGCATTCCCCAAGGGCCCATCTCAGGGCCCCTTTCATTTAATATCAACATGCTCCCTATAGTTCAGATATTACACTAATTATTCTGGCTCTAAATCTGTGCCAGGTGATGGATTCAGACCTCAACATTCAGGGGCCCATAAAGACAGTAACAAACTTGACCTTCTATTACCTAAAAACATCTTGAAGATTAATTTCTCAGCAGGATGTTGAAGAGCTATTTTATGTGTTCATCTTTAGTAGAATTGATTACAGTGGCGTCCTCACAGGCCAGCCTAAAAAATCAGACATCTGTAGCAGATCCAGAACGCTGCTGCACAACTCCTCACCAAAGCAAAGAAAGGGGAGTACATCACCCCAGTTTTAAAGTTCTTCCATTGACTCTCTTTATCTCAGAGAATAGATTTTAAAATACTTAGTTTGTCTATAAATCTTAAGTCTAAATCTTAATACAGACATATTAGGTCAAAACATGGAGAAGCATTGTTTAGCTCTTTCGCTCCATTATCCTGAATCAAACTCCTAGTGAACGGTAACATGGCTGAAACAAAAAAAAGTTGCTTTAAATTAAGGTTAAAAGCTATTTGTTTAAAGTTACCTTTTGCTCTTCTATTTAAAGAAAACTCCTTTACTAACACTGCAATGTACTTTTCTCTTTTTTTCTTAGCTCTTTTTATTCACAGCACGTTGAATAGTCCAACTTGCTATACAAATAAACTTTCTTCCCTGATATTTAAAAGCTAATTGAACCAAATTCTTCTTTTTCATCCTCTAGTTTAGCCTTCTTCTATACAGCCATGTCACACTGAGAAACAAGACTTTTAAAAGACTCTAAAAACATAATTGTTCCCATCTCTGAACACCGTGCTGCTACATAACAGCCAAACTAAAAAGGAAGGTACTGAGGTCAGGAGAAATTAACTATTGATCTCTTGCTGTACTATTGCATCGTTTCCCTTCTTGTATTTTCTATCTAATCATATCCAGTCACCAAAGAGACAAATACATCTGAACAGGATCTGATTTACTGCTTTGATGCATCAGCTTCTCTCTCTCATGTGGCTTGGAGGGCTGCTGTTCTTGTACCGCTCATAAAAAGGAAGTGTTTAATCTTTATAAATCCCCTTTTGTTTTTAACAAGCAGCTACACGTTGCAAAAAAAGAAATAGCCGTAAAATACTTATTTGTCTCCCGTCAGTAGAATGAAACATGACGGATTTGTGCCTCTTTCTTTTTAATGTTTAACAGAACTTATAAGTCTTATCATTTTATATAAAAAGACCCTTTAGTCTTTTTGTTTGTAATTTTAATGGTGATTAACGCCTGGTGTTGTTCAGAAGAATGGGACTGCAATTAGGACCAAGTTGCTTATAAAAACAGAAAATCTGTTGCTTCTTCCCACTTGTTCATGCAGCATGGGCATCGTCTCTCTCTTTACTTTTACAATTAAGGGTCTTTGAAGCTTAATGCTCTAATTTGATCGACTTACTGGGATAAAGGGATTTGTTTGGCTGTCTATTGTATAGTTATAAGTAGTTTCAGGCTGTAAGATTCTTCTAATTGAAAATCTCTAAACATATGTATTAAAAAAACTGTTTACTAAAGACCCTGAACTCAATAAACTACAGTTCATACCTTTGTTCATTTTCAAATTACATTCAAATGAAAATAGTTGCCATCATACTTGAAGCTGCAGGCAGTGAGAGCATTCATGGTGGAGATGTGCTGATATCCTCTGGTGGGTTAAGAAGGAAGTTCGACTGTTAATTAGGAATTTTGACTGTAATTAAGGTGATAGCATTTAAAGTGTCTAAGTATTTAAAATTTCAAAATTAAAAATACTATATCATTGTGTCCGGCAGTGCATTTTTGACTTATTTGTTTGTTTTTTTTTGTTCTGTTACAGGAAGTCCATGAAATTCTTAAAGAATATGAGCTAAAGTACTGCTTCGTGGACCGCAACAAAGGCACAGGTAAGAATAACAGCTGCCTACATACAATCACAAAAAATCATACTGGTTTCCTAATACTTATGTATGAGTCACACTTTTTCTTATTCATATCGTTAGAACTCTTGGGACCTGTATTTGCAACATTAAAATTATAAGTATCTCAGGATACCACTGAGCCATTTGCACAATGCATGGCTGTTTATTAGAAATTGATGATAGATGATGTTTGGAAATTGCACACAGATAAACACTAAAGGTAATAAAAAAAATCAGATTACCTAATTTTATGAATAAACATCACAGTGTTAAATGTGTTTTTGTTGTAAAAATAAGCTAAGTTTTACTGGGCTACATGACTGACTTCTCATCTATAAATCTTGTTTATTTTTGTGGTATGTTCACAAGTGTAAAGCAAGCTAAAAAGAAAAACAAAGAGTTTCTAGTGCTTTGATTTATTTAAAGCTACAGTGTGTAATAATTACAGGGATATACAGTCAGAAATGTAATATATTATACATAACTATGTTATTTATCATCATCTACGAGCTCAGCCTCTTAACCTTAATATTTGCGTTGCCTTAGAATTCGTTATTTATAATTACATAGGAGCAGGTCTCGCAGCCATGGAGGCAGACATCTTTGCGCTACGGCAGCGCAGAGCCAACAAACTAGCGATTGCTAGATCGCCCATTACGCTCGAAAGTAACTACGGCAAGTTGAGAGAGATGAACTGAGACGGTACTGAACAATAGATACTAAATACTACTATAGATACTAATAAATACTATCTGTAAAATAATCTATGTAAACAAACCTCATCACTTGAGAAGGTAGGTGATGCGGACGTCGTGGAAGACATTTTGTCCCGTAACGCTCGCCGTACTGTTGGGGGGGAGAAGCGGTGGGGGGGAGATGTTCATGCTGCGGTCTGCAGTCTGGACGTTAGATGTCGCTGAAAATTACACACTGTAGCTTTAATACCCAGAGTTTTTTTTATTTCATCAAAAAAAGTGATGAACCAAATGCCACTTAATCCTATTATTAGTACTTATTTGGCAGTTCAGGAAAACAGAGCTCTGACTGTTATTAAAGGACTGCTTAAATTTTTCCATAACCTTACCTAGAATAATATATATGAAATTCAAACATTTTTTGTTTCGGTCGTGGTCCTGGCTGTGAGGACAGCAGCACACTGGTATTTACAGCAACACAAACCTGGTGACCAGAGCAATCCCATTGATGAATCTTTTGCGACGGAGCGTTCTGGAGGCGGATGCGTTCTTCATAATTGACAGAAGCTATGTTTATATGCACAAAATTTCTCTGATCTGATCTAAATCTTGGTTGACCGGATGTTCCAAATCTCTGTTTATGTGGACATTAATTGAAATGATCCGCTCATGACGTTTGTATACATGCGGCAAGTGTTTGATCAGATTAAATCATTTGAGCATGTGTCGAACTGACAGTTCTGCCGATTGTTGGCAGGTCAACCCTGTTTTAAAAAAAAACGGGTTTTTAATGTGAAAGCGGCTTTGTTAAAGCCAAATTCCAACCTAAACTATCAGCAAAAATCGGATTCAGTTAGCCCTATTTGAACCAGAGGGGGGCGCTAAACAGATGATTATTCGCACAAAGGGAGGTTTTCCAAAAATGTGCATTAAAGTGTCTAACTAATGCTTGGGATATGTAGACAGTACTATAAGACGTCTAATTATACAGTTTATGATTGTTTGATCTCAAAGTTTTGTAAGATTCCCTATCTGAGATTTTTATGACCCAATCTTTCGATTCTTATAGGTTTTGAAACCTAATCTTACAATTTTAAGAATTTAAGACAATAGCTGGCAGAAGAAAGTGTGGGCTACTACATTTTTCCATTTTGTCTTTCACATTGGCCTTTGTATTGTCTGAGGGAGGTAGTTTCAGAGTTGACAAAATCCTTTTTTGTATTCTGAATAAGATAAACATACTGAAATCATTGTTTAGTTTTGTCTGCTCTGAAATATTGCATGATTCTCTAAAAAACAAAAAGTAATCTGATATCCTTTTTTTTTGTAAACCCTTTTTATGATTGATCAGGTATGTGTTGAAAAGGACACCGTTTTTTATGTTAATATTTTTCCTGACTGAAAACCTAAACGACCATTACAACCAATTAAAGGCTGTGGCTAAAATTTCCATTTAAGCTATTTATGCAGGCAGCCATATGAATGCAGCACTTCTCATAGGAGATGCCAACTCTAATATATGCAGCAGTTATAAAATTGTCTCTAGAAATTTGTGTCTATAGTTGTTTGTAAAGTGTGTTTTACTTGGTCTCTGCCAACCACAGTTTCTTCTTTGCAAAAAAGGATGTTTCTTAAAATGTTTGGGAAAATAATAATGCAACTAGCTGTACCTAACAATTTATGGAAATGCTTTGAAGTGTTTGCCCAGGTTTTAAAAATCTGAAATTGCTCTACAGGAATTCATTTACCGTATAAGAAACTTGTTGGAGAAAAAGGTTGGAGCATGGGAACTTTTTCAAATCAGTTTTCAAATTCTTTTTTTTTTTCTGTCAAATGCAGCAAAACTAAGAACTTCCATCACTTTCTGACATCAACCAACAGTATAATTTAATGCACCATGGTGACTACAAAACCTTAAAAAGTTAAAACTTATGACTTGATGCACAAATTATTTTCTACTAAATTATGAGGCTCCAACTCCATCCAATGACAGTTATATAAAATTTTACTTTGGGAGACAAGGAAGGCACAAAATGTCTAGGCAGGGTGGCAAAGCTGCAGCTAACTTTCTCATGTAAATGGAATCAACAAAACATAAAGTAAGAAAAATACATTTTAAAACTTTTATTGTGTCATTTTCTCCTCCAAGAAACTAAAACAACATTCAGGTATAGGCTTATTGATAAAAAAATATTTCACAAAATAAATAAATTCCCAAGACAAATTCAGAAAAACAACTTAGAATACTATAAAAGACTGATAAAAAAAAAAGGAAGTCATTTATTACATTCACACAGGTCACACAAGTTGTTCTATTTAGAAATCTGGATATGTTCATCTTGTTATAATGGAAGATTGTTTTATGACATTTATATTATAAGAAAAATATATATTTTAGTCTGTTATATGATTTTGGTAAATGAATATATAAGTAAGATAAGACAACTTTGGACATAAAAGTAGGGGAGCTTCTGCAGCAGGGGGCAGTTGCCCCCCCAACCCTGCACCCATGTAGATCCACCCCTGCCTCTGTCTAGGAAATAGTAAAACAGACGTTTTTTTGCTTTAATACTTAGGATAATTTTTATTTATTTATTTTTTTTACTTTTCTAGAAATGGAAAACCCAAAAAATCTGTATTATCAAGAAAAGCCAGATTGATGCATCTCTTATCATTATTGCGTGGATAATTGTACTAAAAGAGCTAAAATCTCTTCTTAATTTGACCGTAGACTCGGTTCAATCTAACTGTAGTTTAGAATTAGATTTTGAAATTAGCTGTAAAGCAGGGAGTGTCATGTTGTCCACATCCTCTTCACTTTCTGGCATTTGCTTGTTAGAGGCCTGAAAATAGAAGAAGAGACAAATGCACACAAACTCGACCCCCTGCCCCGAGAGTGTGTCCCTTTCCAGGGAAATCTTACTTGGTGTCTATATTTAGGGCGTGCAGTCAGCCAAGCACCTGAAACTGAACACTTTTGGAAAGTGGTGGGGAGTTGAAACAGCTGAACTATCAGGGCTGCAGCTTGTTCAAAGGTTAACTGGGGAGGGGGCTGATGGAAAAGGGGTCTTGTTGGACCTACAGCCTTGCACCACCTCTACTTAGGACCTCCCTTAGGAACTTACGGGTGTTCAACATCAATAACATCATAGTCTGTTTATAGGAAAGCTGAATTTGTCTCAAACTTAACATTATTAGAAGCAGCAGTTTCCTGTTGTTTCCCTCTTGCTGTCATTTTGAGTCTGCCTCCTTTCAGTGTCCGAATGTCTCATAAATCAACACAAGCAGCCTGCTCACTTTTTTTTTGTCGCTTTATTGCTTTGTTCTTCACTGGAGAAAAACTCACTTTCATTTCAAGGGCTTGCTTTAGTAAGTTGACAACATAATACAGTGCATGTTTGTTGCCAGAATCTTGGCTTATCTGATTTAAGATTGAAAATGTTTGAGAAGGTATAAAGACACACCTTCAAAGTGTTCCGCCAAAGGCCTTAGGAGAGAAACGTGTTTCTTTTAAAATGATTTTCCCAGGTAATATTGACATGACTGTTATTAAGATCCAGCACTTGTACAGCAGTAAGGCAGGCGGGACACTCTCTCTGCTCCAAGGCATAAGCATAAATAGTCTCATATTTCTGCTTTAAGCCGGTTCCTGTGCCGCAGCACCATACATTTTTTTGTTAAATCTTTTCATAACCTGGCGTTTCTTGTCTTGGGGATGACTTTCTGTTTTCGGTACGAACAGCGTGCATTACAGTTTTCATCCAACTGCGCAACTGGATATAGGAGCCAAAAAAGCTGCACCGACAAACTACTAAAATATAAATGCAAACTTTAGAATGGAGGTTTTAACCTAATGTGTAAACAAAGGACTTAAAGGCAACTAACTTATAAGATTCTTTAAAGGGAGGAGGGGAAACATGTAACTGAATTCACAGATTAATCAGAGGCTGCCTGTGTTTAAAATAAATAAATAAACCAGATCTGACTAGAAGAACAAAGACTTAACAGAAATTAGCAAAAAAATAAAATGTTTCAGAAATTGTTTAAAAAAAAAAAACCCTTATAATTCCTATGGTTTTTACACGTGTCCACAGATGTTTGTTTAAAAAACGGGACAGATGGACCCAGTATTCAGACGAGTCATACAGTGGGAAGTTTCTAAACATTTGACGACAAAATAAACAAACAGAACAGAAACAGAACGCGGGCTGCTGTGGATCAGAGGACCTGCAACCACTGCAGGGGAGGGTGGAGCCATTACTGGCACTCTAGATGTGGGAGGAACGAAGG